TTTATTATTTTCCTTATTATAGCACAATACCGGATGGTTTGGAGGTGGTCGCAAGTGTCGTGTTGTCAATCAGTCAGTAACCCTTTTGAGCACACTGATTCCTTTTTTGGGACCCGGAAGTGGTATGTAATATTCACAAGTATCCAAGCTAACGTGTTGCCAAGTTTCTCGTACTTTTATTAGTTAACTTCCGGGGTTTTATATTTCTTCTTGCCTTGTAGTAATTTTTTTACATGCTGAAAGTGATGGTGTTGGGAAAATGCGAATTTCATCTGATCTGTTTAGAAGAACTGGAACAAATAGCTTTGGACCGGTCACGAAACATACTTTACTGTTTGGGAAAAAACGGCTCCATACAGGTGAGTAACTTACCCGTATTTTTTCAACCTTGAATGTGCGCGAGCCAGCAACGCTTCTTCGAAGATGTCTACAAACAACTTTTGCATAAATAACCTGCTTGTTTAAGGTGTTTGATCTTGGTGCAGATGGATCTCAGTGCTCAAGGATATGCGCTGTGACGGCTGGACAAATTGCGGCAAGTTATATCGTATTATAATCTTACAGATTCCATATCTTCTAATTATAGAGTGAGGCTCATCTAATGACACAATATGGACACGAAGAGAGCACATTTACGAATATTGCCACTATTTGCGCGCTCGAAGCGGAGCAATCAAATCAGCTTAATTTGGTTGCTGTAACTACGAAAGGAGTTCGAATTTACTTTTCTGTATTAGCTCGAAACGTTGCTGTGCCCAATGCGCAAGGCCAGTACTTGTCGCAGATTACCTACAAGGTTCCCGAACTTTCTTCCATGATTTTTGACTTTGTTTTGAACAATCTGTTTTACTTAGTGTTCGCTTTGATAAGATTTCCAATGTTTCAGAGCCTTTCCCAGCAAGAGGTTCGACCGCAGTGCCTCCGAGTTGCACACGTAAGGTTTTCTCCTGGGGTCACTCCTACCTCTATATATCGAGATACACCTCAAGGAGTCTCCATCGCCTACGCTGACCAAAGTGAGCACTCTAGATACGTCGTTTTTCGCTCACAGTCTTTACCCTTCATCTCTCCCTTACAGTATTTTTTTAATTACATCTACCATATTTATTTCTTGAAAGAACTATCACATAAGTTTCAAGGTATATGTGTA